AGGCCTAGTCTGGGCAAGGGCATGGCGGCCTCGTTGACCACAAGTGAGGGTGTTGAGGGCCAATGCCCTCACATGTGGCCGGCGATGGCGCGGAGGCCCTTGCCCGTGTCCGGCGATGGCGCTGAGGCCCTTGCCCGTGGCCAGCAAGGACCGCAATGCTCTCACCTGCCCTCGCTAGTGGCAAGCAATGGTTAGCCGGCGAGGTTGCCTGCCAAAGGTGTAAAAAGAAAAGAAAAAAGGAAAAGTAATAGTTTCGGAAAAAAAAACTGTCCATGTCGGACGGCCAGCATCTACGTCAACGATTTTCGCCAAAATTAACTTAATTGGTAAAACATGAAAATATTTAAGACTTAATTGGCAAATTATAAGGTTTAGGACTAAATTGATAAAAGTACTTTTGTGACTTTTTGGATAATTTTCCTCCTTGAAAACTACCAGCAAAGAGAATCGCTGTCTAAGAGTATAGAAAAATAGGAAAATCATATTCTTGCAATTGGAAATACGATTGTACATGCAAAATGACTCAAACGAATGTGAATGAGGAACTCGCGACGTAGTTACGATGTTTAGCTAATTAAGATCAGAAAGACAATTTCACACACATATATCAACAACTCATCTTCATCAAATTTTTAGCAAAAAAAAAAAAAAAAAACTCATCTTCATCAAATACCGACCCTTCGGCCAACATGTTAGCTCGAGATCACATTCCACATCTTGTGGAGTTAGGAAGTTTTGAGTACAAACTTCAACTTATTAGGACAAGATCTTTGGCTTGCACACATCATCCTCCGCATTGCATCATCATGGGATATCTTCACAAGAAACCAAAACCATAATCCGAACACCCTAATTCGACAAAAAATCATACGATCAAAGGCCAACGATCGTGGATCCATGGAAAGATGTCATGACAGGGAATGACTTAAGATAGTGGTGATACTCAACGGCACGCAAGATTCTGAACACGAATAATGGGGATGGAAAAGCAAAGAACTAGCTTCCGAAGGTCACCTAACACGAGCATTTAAGTACAACTTGTTCATTTGATTAGAGATGAAAAGCATATTCTTTATTGATTGCATTAGAGCTAAGGCAAATGAATGGTGGAGCCACCGATCATTTTTGGGCTCAGATTAGTAGATAAGTGCATTAATCTCGAAGCATACAATTATATGGTTGAGCCACCAAATTGGTCCTTCAAGAGAGGGGAGTGCACCTAATTCCACTCGCACCAAACTCTCTCAAAAACGTCGTCATTCCCAAAGTCCCCCACAAAATCACTTGAAAAACCGTGATTCTATTAGCTTCGGACACGTTCACACGTGCCGCTGGTTCGTGGATGGTCCGCCCTCCTTCCCAATTAATACGCAAAGGCATGATTATGGAGAGAAGACATCGAAGCAAAAGATGAGATCCACACGTGACTCGCGTTGGCCATAAGCTAAAATGGGCTTTTCTAATCATTGATTATCGTGGAAATCACGCATCAAATCACCATCCCTTGTCTAATCAAGCGACGTTCCTATCTGACCAACTAACCTTAACTAAAATTGATTGACGTTAGAAGGATGGGTTAATCGAAATCGGGTTGGACAATTACCCCATTGGGCTACGTGGAGAAGAGCGTAAAAGGGTCTAAAGTTGAAAACTATCATGGGATATCATTTGCTTTTCTAATTTCTGTCTCGTTCGTGTCGTTTAACCAAGAAGGATTAGGGTTTAGAAGTGTCTCCAGTTGATTTGCTGTGGAAAGGGAAGAATTCAAATGATCGAAAAGAAAGAATTACTACGAAAGCTGCAACTATGCCCAATAATTTGCGCTAGTTTCACTCTGGATAGTTGGCTCATTAGGATCATGACAGTGAATTATAAAATAACAAGAACCATGTAATTAATTCTTAATCCGTGCATCCACCATGTTTTCACGACTTCTTTTCTAGAATTGGTCCAGATCCAAATTTGCAAGGCATAGATGATTTTATACACGGAAGTTCAAGAAAAAATAAACACATATTTCATTTTTAGAGTATTCTTCAAGACAACTAACGCTATATACGAAGGTGGACATAAAATATTTTCGTCCATTGTGTGCACAGAAGAACGAAAAAGAAGGGGTTAACATCATTAGGTGAGACATCATAGATTTAGGTCTCTCTCTCTCTCTCTCTCTCTCTCTCTCTCTCTCTCTCTCTCTCTCTCTCTTCCTAATGTCTTGAAAAATCCAAGTGGACACAGACTTGCTTGGTACAACATAAGAGAAATACTATGAAACCCCTCGTGTAAGTGATGAATCGCTAACATATGGGCAAGTTAACAACCTCAAGATCATGCAATAATCTCTTGGAAGATGACCCAGATCAAAGCTACGGCTCAGCTCACCAAGTAATTAAGGCTATGAGAGACCAACCCTCGTGTACCAGCTGCTTGCTTCAAGCATAGAATATGAAGGGGCTAAGTGGTTTTTAGCTTGGTGAGGACGGCTCGCTTTTTGGAGTTTGCAAGAATTCGATGGCGCTTTTCTTTGTAGGGTGTTTCTTAGGGTTTTGATGCCGACCCTCTTTTAGCTCTGTCCTCGAGACCAAGACACAGGCTCTAGGTTTTCGATTCTGGCAAGTTGGTGTCCGCCGGTGAATTGGGTTTTTTTCGTTCACGAGGCAATATAATATAAGGACCAAGGAAATTGAGTGTGGCTTTGGCGTAGCGAGCCATGTCGTGCACGGAGCCATGTTAGAATTTGGGATAACGTCTGCTTTACCCTCGGAATCCCCAAGTATTGGGGGTGTTCTCAAGCAAGAACGAAGCGTAGCATGCAAGAGATAGGGAGTAGTAGTAGTAGTAGTAGTAACGCATTTTGCCTCTTGCTTGGGCACGATTTCATGGACTTTTCGAAAGCTGATTCGGGATATTACTTACTTGATGTACTGATCTTTTTAATCACGTGATCAGTAAAAACTCGAAGATAAGGATATCCGGAATGGGGACTAAAAGGCAGGAGGGCGATGATCCCCAACAATGTCATCGCGCGACTTTCTTATACCTTTCATGTATATAATGAATGGTGCAATCAAGAATCAAAATATCTCATATTTTCCGGAGTCGAGGACACTTGCACATCGCAACTTTTACTTTGAATAGGAAGAATTTCACGCGATGAGCACGCTTACCTACATAATGTGATTACTTGATGTCATTCTAACAAATAGTTGGCATGCTACGTGGACAGATGCAATTCCGTTATGTGACATAGCAACTTCGTGGGGCATTAGAAAATTGCACGCTTTTTAGCTTTCGCTTTGGTGAAAGTAACAACCAAGATGATGGTAACTATTATGGTAGCTTCACTTCGAGTTCACACTCGCAATCAGCCCATCGTAATGATTGCGCAAGTGATTGCACAAAATTTACAAACACACACACACACACGTTTTATATTACATCATATTTACATCATATTATATTATATCATATCATATTATGTTATATTAACTTTCTAGAAGAAGTTAGCGGGTAATGGATGCTGTGACTTTATGGGAATTAGGCTGATTCATTCAGATCTCCAGTTTGGTGCCCATAACAAACTTGATGTCTGCCTTTGGCTGAACGAGTTTGATATAGGGATTGGGAATTAGGTCAAACGAACTGACTCAATCTACACGTGAAGAAAAAAGATGGTTTCGTTTGACAGCATAAGCGACACGAGGCTAATTTAGGTCGAGAAATTCTGCACACCCTCGTTGCTTCAAATGCAGAGTTGACAAATGGTGGATGAAATTGATTTCGAATGGTTGGATCTTTTCCAACTTATCAACTTGCAATGTGAAACCAGATAGTTGTCTTTCTTAATGGTTGACCGAAACATACGAAAGACCGACTAAACACCTTGTCCATAGTCGAAAGTTTCTGTGTTTCTCAACAGTAGATAGTTAGAAACCTTAATGAGGTCAAGATTCACAGTTGTATTGCTAGACTGACGGAGGAATAGGGCCGAATGCACGAGGCGAAGTGAATTTGCTGACCCTACAACAAAGCCTCGAGACACTTCCCACTTGGAATTTGGTGGGGGGCGAGCGGGTGACGGCCTCACGGTGAAGTCGATTCTGTCCATTTACACATGCTTTGGTGTCGATTTTAATGTGCTTCCAAATGTGTGTATTACCAATTTCTTGTCATTAACTAGATCCACGATCCATACGAGACTTGACAGCATCTCGATATTATAGGATTCCCATAATGAATGACGATTGCATAAGCAAGGCATACCGATTGGATCGACCGAGAATCTAAGCACCTTTTCTCCAGACACACGATGGTCCAAATGCAAAGCTCCAAAACCTTTGTCCCTAATGACATTGACATCTGCTAAAATGCCCATTACTTGCACTTCCAATTCTCCCCCAAAGACTCCAGTCTTAGTCTTGACAAGGTATACACGGTTGGCCAAGCTAAAACACCCAAATTCAACCCCCACTCTCTACTCCCAACAAAAGCCTGCCCTTTGACTCAACCAATTCCTCCTTTTTTGGTGGTTCAACCCACTCCATAATCAATCCCACCCCCCAATTCACATCAAATTTCAAAATCAAACCCTAAAAATCTGAGACCCCCCTCCTCTTGCCCAAGAAGAAGGAGAAAAGTCCACTTGCAAAAAAAAAATCCAGAGGAAAAGAATCCAAGTTGGGTGGATTATCCATCCAAAGCTAACCCCCCCCCTGTCCAATCCCAAACCTCCCCCACCCTTTTTCACTAACAATCTCTCCAACGGTCCCCCCTCAATTTACCTTAAAACCCTCGACCTTGTGTACGTGCCGCTACCGTCCAAGCTGGCAAGGACCAGCCAAATGTCGACACGTGGCCAGCCCCCCCACGTTTAAGGCATTGTCAACCCCCACAGCACAGCACAGAGCATAAGCAGAGCAAATTCCACATAACTGGACTGACCTTCGAAAATTTCCCACCTTTTCTCTTTCCCTTTTCGATTCCCCCTATATAAACCCCAACGCTCACCGAGCAACACACTTCCATCCCACACACCCAACCAAACAAAGCAAGAGAGAAGAAAGCAAGCAAAAGCTCCCCCCCTTTAAGGCCCCCCTCGCAGCAAAATGGACTGGACCAGGGGCCGCGCCGTCGGCCGCGGGGCCTCCGCCACCGTGTCGGTCGCCACCTGCCTCCGGTCCGGCGACGTCTTCGCCGTGAAGTCGGCCGAGCTGGTTCGGTCCAAGTTCTTGCAACGAGAGCAGAGGACTCTGTCCTCTCTGAGCTCTCCGAGGATAGTCAGCTACAGGGGGTGCGAAGTCACGAGCGAAGGCAGCAAGATCATGTTCAATCTCCTCATGGAGTACTTGCCGCGAGGAAGCCTTGCCGATCAGATCAGAAGCCATGGGGGCAAGCTGGAGGAGCCGGCGATCCGTGTCTACGCGCGCCAAATTCTGGAGGGACTGGACTACTTGCACTCTCGGGGCATTGCGCATTGCGACGTCAAGAGCTCCAACGTCCTGATTGGCAACGACGGCGGCGCAAAGATCGCCGACCTCGGGTGCGCGAGGCGGGTCGTTGGCCCCTCGGGGAACCCGGCGGCGGAGATCGGTGGCACGCCGATGTTCATGGCTCCGGAGGCGGCGCGGGGGGAGGAGCAGGGGCTCGCCGGCGACACGTGGGCGGTCGGGTGCACGGTCATCGAGATGGCCACCGGGAAGCTACCGTGGCAGGCCGACGACGCCGACCCGGTGTCGGTGCTCTACAGGATCGCGTGTTCCGGGGAGTCACCGGCGATTCCGGGTTGGCTCTCCGCGGAAGCAAGGGATTTCGTGAGCAAGTGTCTAAGGAGAGACCCGAGGGAGAGGTGGACGGTGGGTCAACTTCTCGAGCACCCATTCCTCGAGACTCACAAACTGGGCCCAACTCAAGCCGCACAGATCAATACCAAGTCGCCCACGAGCGTTCTTGATCAAGAATTCTGGGACGCGATGGACGAGACAGAAACAGAGTCGGAAGCCGGGACGACCGGAGGAGACGGGGTGGAATCGGCCCTCGACAGGATCGGGACGCTGTCGTCTCGGGACGGACGACGACCCGGTTGGCCGTGCGGCGAGCGCGACGAGGGTTGGATCACCGTCAGATTGGGGAGAGCCCGTGGGTCAGACGCGGCTGCTTGTTGTTCATCATCTTCTCGGTGCTCTTCGTGGGTGAGTGACGAGACGGGCGCGAGTGCTGTCGGTGGCGAGAGGTGGGTGGTGGTGGGTCTTCCGGGTGGCAATGCGGGTGGTGAGATGGGTGGAAACTCATGTGATCGGGGTGAGGAACGCGTTGTGATTAGGAGCAGCCTCGATTTCGAGAGGCACGAGTGTAGTAGATTTCCTGAATCGATGTCCAGATTTTCATGAAAAATTTCTCTCTCTCTCTCTCTCTCTCTCTCTCTCTCTCTCTCTCTCTCTTTCTCTCTCTCTCTCTCGCTTTTGCTTCTTTGGGTGGTGAACTGACTTTGAGCTTGGGTCGATTCCAATTCCAATGGCGGACGTGAAAAGCGCTTGCGCATGTCCTGTCCGCTAGTACTTTGCGTACTCTCAAGAGCTGAAGGGTCATGGAATTTCAAGATCCCCTCGGCTCTGTTTTTTCCAGTGGATCCCACCGAGGTGTTTGTATGCTCCGAATCAGGCCCGGTTTCGATATGCCGAGTTGCGAGCGGTTCGTTGCGAGGACCGCGAAACGTGCCTAAACTGTATAAAAACCTTAGAGCTAAGTATTGGTTCCGATATTCAGATCGACTCTCGTTGCTACGTGAACTCGCCCTTGAGCTAAGCTCAGGTTAGTGATCAAATGTCCTCGGTGTTCATATAGGGTTTTGAACTCGGGTGGCGTTTACGGGATGAAGACGAGTCGCATGGCGTCGAAACTTCCTTTGACTATGCTGTGGATAGGTCATGTCCATGAATAAGCATTCTAGGTGGACTGTGTCCTATGATTCTCGCTCTTTTAATTGGGTCGTCCGGCCCTCTCAAACCCTTTGAGATTTGTTATGTTCCGAAACTTCACTTTTGCCTCAATGAAATGAAAAAAAAAACCCGTTACCAACCAACCAAAAAACTACGTCGGTAATAGCATACATTCGTAGAGAAATGTCCCTAGTGCTGGTGAATCTTTTCGTTCCAATTATCAAAAGAAGGGAGGGACAATTGGCTGCTGATTGATGCCGATTTGGTGTTTTGACTCCCAACTTTGTATGAATTTTGGTGGAGGCACCCCCGATTTTGCCCGATCAAGACCCGTGCTTCGCTTCGAGGTCAATTCTGCAATTCGGTGAGGTCTCAAATTGTCCAGCCAAGTTTTATTGCTCCCTCCATAAAACATCAATAAATTATCAGCTGCTACTGCTTAGGATGGCCTATCCCCATGCCAATTGCTAGCTGTAGAGGTTGGTGGAAGTAGGGGTGTCCAAAAAGCCCGCGCCGGCCCGGCCCGGCCCGCGCCGACCCGGCCCGACCCTAAATTTTGGGGGTATTTTGGGATTGGGTCATAGTCTTCTTCTAATAGGGCTTTTAGATGTGGGTATTATTAGAGTTGGGGTAGGGTCAGGCCCGACCCATTGACACCTTAGACCCACCCACAAATCTCTCTCTTTCCCCTTCTCTCTCCTCTCTCACGATGAAACCCTAGATCTAAGCCAACAGAAGGACTGTTCTTAATCGCCTGAGCAAAGAGGCGCCATGGCTTCGAAGCTCAGAGAAGTCACGACGGCGCTAGCAATCGCGGCCACCAGGCGCCCCCTCACCACGCCGCTCCAATCTCGGTCGTTTGTCGCTGCCGCCGCCTCGTGGCCGGCGACGATGGGACATCCGCGTCCCCCTAGCTCCGGCAGCTACGCGAGCATGCCGGAGGCCGTGGGCACTACGTGATTGGACGAAGTCCCCGCTAGCCGTGAACTGAGCTCCAAGACCAAACGGCGGCCGTGCGCGGCTCGGGCTAATGGACGGCGGCTTCACGGGCAATGGGGGCTTCGGGGCCTCCGGAGCGACGGCCTCGTATGTGCACCTCACCGGCAGAGGAGGCAGTGGCGGTGGCGTAGGCGGCTGAGCTGGAGATTTCGCCGCTGGTGGAGGCGGAGGAGACGTTGGGGACGGAGGCGTGCGGACAAAGAACGTGTCCACCGGGATCACTTTGACATCATCCTCATCAATGGCACTTCGCCATCTCCGAAGGGGGTTTACTTGCTGCTGACCTCAAAATCGTCTAAGAATAAATTAAACCCGGCCCGGCCCAACCCGACCCGACCCTCTCTTGGGTGTGCACGGTGAACAGGGTCTCGGGTGGGTCTGGGCGGGTCAAGCACGACCCTATAAGTTTCGGATCGGGTCGGGTATCAAGAAAGCCCGACCCGACCCGACCCGACCCATTGACACCCCTAGGTGGAAGGTTGAAGAATATGTGTCCAACCACAAACCGACACCTTAATTTGGTAGCCTCCTCCTTGTTCCGAGTAATTGAATAGATCAGTTCGGGCTCATACCGCTCAGGTCCGAGTCGAACGGGGTCCGAGCCATAAATTGAATTAATTTAACTGGGTCGGCGCATGATCTACACTTGATCTTGGTCGACCAACATGCTTCGACATACAAGCGATGATGGGTTCGTTTCGATGGACCGTTTGCTCACCGAATGCCGGAATAATTTTTTCCCATGGAAGAAATGAAGGAAGCTCGAAATGCTTGGTGCTTCGTATTGGTGCGTAATTATCGGGAAGTACTTCAAAATTTTCTCCATGGAATATAAGGAGTGTTCGGTTGAGGAGGGAAATATAAGTGAGAGCACTCGTATTTTGGGCTGAACAAGGAAACATAGGAGCGATGCATAACAATCCCTAAGCAGTCCTTCACGACTAACAAGTCCAAGGGCTTGACTAGTTGGCCCGGCCCAATTCGACATGAATGAATCATTCATGAAAGTTTTTTGTCAAAAGCGAAAGAAAGAAAGCAAGAAAGCAGTGGTGTACGATAGACTCTTCAACTTATATATTTGTCAGGACGAGTTCCTTTTGGAGAGGGGGACTAAATCGGTGCAACTTATCGACTTCTCGAATAGTGCTATAAAAATCGATACTGAATGTCCCCCCTATAATTGTACATGCTCCCATAACAATAACATATTTCAGTTCAGGCATTTGTTCATATAATCTCACTAAAGAATGAGCCATCTTCATTGTTACTGTGCCCGCTATTAAAATGAGGTATGCCTGTCTAGGACACGATCTCGGTACCAGTCCATAACAATCAAAAGAATGACTCTAGTTATCGAATGATTGAACAATTAGGAGCAATTTACTTACGATACTTAGTTGACATTCATAAAAAGTATCTAATGAATTATAAATTCGATACATTCTGTTTAGCATATGCAGACAATCACTTCTTTACAAACCTCGTGTGGGGCTAATAGTTTTCATTTCACATCTTGAGGAAAACCATTTTCTCTCCACTTAGCCTTATCCCCCTTTAGGTGTATTTTAGTGATACGTTTTATACGTACTAGAAGATCATTGCCGCATTTTGCTCAAAGGATTGAAGGGAGATAGTGCATCAAGCTGTTTGCAAGGGCCAACTTGATCCTCTTCCCCAAGGATCCTAGATGAGGGAACCCTAAGAGAGAGGAAGAAGTGTAAAAACTAGAATTGTTGAAACTAGCATATTGGAAGATCAATAGACCAAAATAACCATGAGTAGCTACGATATTTCAAGTTTCTTCCTCTTGAACCGAATCTTTAACCTTGATTAGCAAATTCATTTTCTGTGGTTTCCCTAATTAAACTAGAGGTTAGCAAGGAACCATGCATAACACTAGAAAGAGGAGGACTTAATGATTATTCGTTCGCCGAAACAAGAAGTCAAAATTTCGGTAGATAGGGACCCCATAAAAACTTCTTTTGAGGAATGGGCCAAACCTGGTCATTTCTCAAGGACAATAGCTAAGGGCCTTGATTCTACCACTTGAATCTATAAATAATTAATATATACGTGTTCTCTTTAATGTAAGACATAAAGTAGTGACGTCTAGAAACTTTAAATTGAGATATTAATAAATTCGCTAGGTTGAACAAAAAATGGTTTTTGCATCAATTCAAAGGCCGGAAAAGGTTGTAGAAGATTAAAAAGGTCCGTTGCCCGTCTCATGGCTATGTACCATGCATAACACTAAATAGGGAGCTGCCGAATACAATAGCTACACCTAACATGTGAAATGGATGCATAAAGATGTTGTGCTCTGCTTGGAATACAATTATGAAGTTGAAAGTATAAGAATTCCTAGAGGCATACGATCATAAAAACTTCCTTGACCAATTGGTTAGATCAAGAAAATAGCAAAAGCAGCCACAACAAGAGCTGAACAACAATCCAAGGGCGCATACCGAGATAGTTGGTCCCAAGGGATGGAGTAAGCTAGGTTAGCCAAAAGATGGTCATCGGTTCAAGTATTCAAGGTGCCCCTGCTTTTTCAAGGTAAGAAGGGGTAGAAAAAATGCCTTGAGCCAATGTTCGAGTACTAGGCTCTATGGCGCTAAAATAACCCATGCTATACTCCTACGAAAAGCTCAAATGACCTTCAACAGAAGGGTACCTCATTCTCTTGAAGCTCCTTTTCATCATAAATGATCTGCTTGCCCCGAAATCAGCTAGCCTAATGGGGAAATCCCAATGAATTGTGCCTTTCGATACAATCAAATAGAAAACTCTAAGGGTGCCATATTCTAAGAGCCCAAACTATGTGATTGAATAAGTCATCATCTATCTATTGTGGGTCTTCGTAGCTCTCGTTTGACACCAAATAAAGCAAATTTTGGTTTTCGTTTCCCTTGTGATGGACCTAGAAGAGGGGGAACACATCAAGTATCCACTTGGGATCATGTCTTCTTAGGCCTATTTTGGATGTACAATGCAATTTCGTAATCATATTTCATTTCAGTTGGAAATTGTAGTCGGATGTTTGGGGTAGTATAAGTGATCAAGAAGTGTTAACTCATATCACAGGAGGAAACTTTGCGCAAAGTTCCATCACTATTAATGGGTGGCCCTAGGAAATGGCATTTAGGACATTAATCCCGAGAAAAAGAGAATGCATATAAGATACGCCGACTAATGAGCTGTCCAATATGCCGGCAATGACCGCCGGCAGCAAATAAACTAAGATCGACCAAAAGGCTTATGTCATAGTTTCTGTGTAACTAATATTAGAAATTTCATCATTTAATTAATTACTTCAACAACATAAAAAAATAAAGAAGGGTTTTCCATCGGAACTAATATGGATCACGTTTCATTTAGCTTATATACACAGGGCCCGCCATAGAATGTTCCGGCAAAGCCTTACATATTGTCAAAATAATATTAATGGTCAATCAATATTCCAAGTCGTACTGCGTTGTCTAGAAAAAAAAAAAAAGGGGTCAAGGCGTTGGGCTCGAGACGTCGTCGTTTGGCGGATCGGCTGGTAAGTGCGCCTTGGTGTTGGCGGCGGTGACGACCATGAGCGAGAGAGGGACAATGACGGAGAGCAAGGACAGGATGAGCGTAAGCGCGTGGGCGAACCCGCCCTTCACCTCCCGCGCGTACTCCACCGACGCCAAGGCTAGTGCCGTCAGTGGGAACGAGTACGCCCACCATGCCACATTGTACTTCCTCATCGACTTCTTGAACAGGGTCGGCCTCGTCACCTGCATGATAAACCCACAAGTTTTTTTTAACATATGTTGATTCTCGATTTATGATTAATTGCGTAGTATAAGTGAAAATGATGTTGATACCTAACTTTGCTAAGTTAGGGGAGGGACAAAAAAAGTAGAGAAGATAGTAGGGCATCCAAATTAGTTGAAAGTAGGCGCGAAAAGGACCAAATATTTAATTAGATCGAGCTTTGCCTAATCTAAATTTTTAAATGCTTGGCCAATTTCCCACCGAGACTAATGAAAAGATGCTTGACGATGCAAGTGAATATTTGCTTGGGCCCCTTAACATTAGTGGAGTGACAAACATGTGATTAGTCTTGGTAAAAAGCCAAATCAAAGCTCGACTTTTTGTCCCTTAACAAGTGTGTTTTGGGCCCCTTTTTTTAAGGGAAACTGTTTTCCAAAAATTATTTCCTGACTTTCTGATATTTGGATTATGAAAAAATGATCAATCTATGGATAACATTATTCATGGATCGAAAACAACAATGCGACAAAATGACATCTATTTCTAGCAAGAAAAAAATCACTCTCTAAACACCAAACAAATCAAAACTAAATAATTCTTTGAAAATAATCTTCGTGAAAAATATTTTTTTCATCATGAAGTTTTCAATGAAATAAACACGCCCTCTCTCCTTTTACGAGTGTTCTAATAGTAAGACCTCTCTTCTTTTACGAGTGTTCTAATATTAAGATTTGTCACGTGGTTTTTAAATGGATTTCTACTGTATACGTAACTATGTAAGCTTTACACGGACTACGTACGAGGGAAGACCATCCACCCAGAAAAAATATAAATGGCCAAGATCTGTTGGAGGCAACCGACAAGAAGATCCATTAGTCAGCCTTATTGTAGTTAAAATTTCAAGGTTTGTGGCATCAATATGACAAGATGATGCAAGAACCATTAGTTCTGTTTTCTCACAACCAGTGATTGATATTCATTCCGTACTGTGACCGACCATCTGTAGACATAGCTAAAGGAGGTGATTGAATTACCAGGGACATGAAGAGGAAGAGTGACAGAAAGAAGAGCATCTTGGCTGAATCGTCGAAGCTTCCGGAGATGGAATCCCAAGCGACGCTCGCCATGCTCGGGGTCGCGACAAACAAGAAGAAAACCGGCCGTAGTTTCACCGGCAGGCCCTTGTTCCCCGCGAGCCTTTGATAGAGCGTGACGAATATTACGAGATAATGTGTCATCCCTAACGAGAACATGAATATCGCGCTCTCCCTCCACCCCATTTGGGCTGCCGCCCTTGCCCCTACCAAGTTCCCGATCACCGACAGTTGACATGTCGGGTTCGCCACCGTCGATAGGAACCTCTTACCCTCCGTGAACCATTGCCCGTATATCTTAATGTCGAGCGCCACCACCGGTACTACAAAGATCCACCAAAGGGCATGGTACGGCGAGGTTTTCTGGGCAATGAAGGGGCATGATTGGAGGAGGAGGAGCCATGAAATCCATGGCGTGAACAAGTAGTTCACGCCTACGTGGTGCAAGAACTCGGACTTCACCATCTCGAAGTGAAATAGGCACCTTAGGACGTATGCAAAGGATAGTAGCGCCAACGTGAGCAAGGCCAACGACCAGAGCAGCGTGAAGGCGGTGGAGGGTACTACATGGAAGATGCGGCGGATGGTGCTGTGGGTGTCGGCTATCGGCTCGCCCAAGGACCTCCAAAGCAAGGCCTGGCTACACAAAGACAGACTTATCCTGAAGTAACCCGCATGGATTTTGGAAAGGAATGGCTTTAGAGAGCGCTCGATCATCTCTAAGGGGAACAAACAATGCCGTCTAGGCGACATTTGATTCGTGATGACGGACACCTCGAGCGCGAGCTCGATGATGTGGGAATGAGCAACTACAGACAATGGAATTCGATTTGAAAGCCAAACAATAAACGATGATATTCAGCTGATCAGCCAAGTCACACACGCCGCTGTTTATTGACATGTGCCGTGCTCGCCCTTCCATGCTTATATAGGGGGCAATATATCGACTTGAGAAGAGAAAAGATTAGGCACATATCGTGCTTCGAAAAGTTAATGAAGACAAAAGATGCTGATATCGGTATAAAGTCGAAGTGAATGTTCCATTGTGAACGGGGCATTTAGAGAGGCGGCTGATTTATACGTATTTGGGAGCCATTTTGGACTCAAATTTTTTCTTTTGTTGACGAACCATGACTTGGCTGTTTTGCACTTTCGAACCCTTTACAGCTAGCTGGTGAGGATAAGGGACCCCATCCATACACAGTGCAGCTTCTTTGAACTAGTTGAGCTTAAACATTCTACTTCATAGCTCATCGGAGATTGAATGGTGTTCTATGGAGCAAGCAAGAACTCCTAGAAAGTAGAGTGAGCACAGCAGATGGGTACGGCAGCAAAGAAAATGAAAGGGATACTACACAAACAGTTCTGAACTTTGACTCAATGTGCAATTTGGTCCATAAACTTTTAATTTGTTTAATGTAATTCATGAACTTTAGGCTGATGTTCAATGTAGTCCTTGAACTTTTATTTTGTTCAATGTTATCCCTGAACTTTTGGTACATGTTGAATTCAGTCCCTGAACTATATGAAAATATTCAATATAGTCCCTGAACTTGAATTAATGAAAAGGACTGCATTGAATATTTTCATATAGTTCAGAGACTGAATTAAATATGTTCCAAAAGTTCAGAGATGACTTTAAATAAATTAAAAATTCAAGACCACATTGTATATTGGATTAAATTTCATGAATTATATTGAATAAATTAAAAGTTTAGGGATCAAATTACTTATTAAGTCAAAATTTATGATTGTTTATGTCATTTTGCCAAAACGAAGACCTAGGTCAGCGATTTTTCTTTGCGCGTGCTCCAACTTGGGCATGAAAAGGGAACTATGAAAGCAGATGTAAGCCACTTGTCGCCTGTTCTTTTCGGGATTATCTCAGCCCTATCCAACGTAGGGATGCGCATGATGCGAGTGGAATTTGGATCCCACCAACACCAAAGAACAGTGAAAAGGACCGACAAAGAGAACATTTAGGCAAGTTCACTGTATTTGCTAGGGTAAAACCTTGAGGCTGCGTTTTGAAAAATGGTCCTAGGTTTATCCCCCAAAGAAAGCAACGTGGATGTCCAAGTACGTCTATTTTTTTTTCCCTAAAATAGGGTTTATCAGATTGGCAAGACGAAAGGGTTATGATCACACCGAGATTCTTTTTTGTTAAATAAATTCAATGAACGTACCAGTGATTTCTATCGAAATATCTATCTCGAAGCGATTGGTTTTTGGACTATCCTTGTTTACTTGTTCTTTTGATGTATTTGTCATCATGATTGTCCTATGTTCAGCTTATTCTATTTGGAAATCGCATGCAACTTGAGTATGTATGCCAATAAAGGCCGCTCTTGGGATGTGACTTAACGTGTTCGAACACGAACACATACATATCGGATTAAATCCTATCAAGGTGTATCGACCATAAGAAGTAGATCAAAACGAGGATTCATTTCGATTAGCTAATCCAAAATCTCAAAAAGTTTGATTACCACCAAAGCATTGGATAATCCATTGTACTATGGCTCTCCCCTCAGTTCGATCTCTCTTTTTCTGCTATATTTTGACCAGGTCACTAGTTCCTATACGATAAATATTCATTTTTGGAAGATTCTGATAATCCGGAAAGATCCTAAATCATTGGCCGAAACTCAAACCCTAATCAAGTCTTCCAAGATCTCCAAACTACATGTGCATCTCCATTTTGTCCTCAACCTTAGTAAATCTTGGACTCCGATTCTGCTCCAATCGCGTTCGGGCAATGATCATGGAACGTAGTTGCGCATTAAAACCATAGCTGGAGAAGATAGTGACAACCCCTTTTGCACTTTTACACATGTAACGACACAACAGAAGGAAAAAAAGAAGGTTATTGTGTAATCTTTTTAAGGAAAAAGAGCAGAAAAGAAGGGTCAGAATATTCTTGCAGTTTATACATCGTGCTTTTATGTACTGGATTTAGTCTTTCCACGTAATCAACTTCGGAACTGGATCATCATCCACTAAGTAATCTTATGCAAAGGCAAAGCGCACTGTTGTGTGAGATTAAGATTAGTACATCACGTATGCTTAGTGATCGCATGTGATACCAGTTCGATATACACAAAGTATAAAACCACGTGAGTTTATATCGTCACCTTAGAAGAAAAAATAATTAATGTGCTAATGGACAAGTATTTCTGGAACCGACCCTTTTCTGAATGGCGGGCAAAACTTGGATGGATAAAATCGGCCAAGGGAATTTAAATTTGGATCTTCATGTTATGGCTAACGTGTAAAGTTTTATCATCAGAAAGTGTGCCCAAGATGAACTTCGTCATGTATACGTGTAAACCTAAAAAGTTTGATTCTGCCCTAGGGAAAAACCATAGGAATATATGAGAGATGAATAGAGACTAGCATGTATAAGCAAAAAATTTTACATAGCTCGTCCCTATAATTATAGTGAGAAAGATGATCGATCATGGGTGGCCATTGCGACCCATGAACTGGCCCGGGCATGCCCACCAAATCCCGAATGGCGACGCGTATGTGGAAAGTAGAGTCTGATTAAGGCCGTTGAAGCCCGAAAAATGGCCGATATGGCTTTTCTGCAACAGGTTCGGTCCAACAACTATAGGCCATCTCAACAGATGAAATATTGTCCAGTTAGCTATCATTTTTTTGTGTTTTTCTATTTTTTTAGCACCACATGAGTAGCGACATTATCATAATCGTGTAAGGACTCGGTCGCAAAATTTGACCTTGAAAATTTGCACGAAAAAGAAGAATTGAGGACCAAACCACGCAAATTGAAAAATCTAGAGGATAAAAATCGGGTGCATACTGCATAGAATAGAGTACCAATACAGTCATACCTTTTGATTTTTATAGGAAGTACTTTCCCTAGCAAGCCGTCACTTATCTCATGTATGAAGAGATTATGCCGAATCCAAAGTCGCCGAACATGATGCACCAAGAAAAAGTGGCTTTTCTTGCTTGAATATGACTGTTTCCCGCAACAGATGAAAAGCTTTGGACTTGTCATGTCTAACGTGGAAGCATGCACAAAAGAAACAATTTAAGTTCAAAACAAATTGCAGAGATAGAGACCTGAACACAACGGATTTACAAGGTTTAGTGGTATGCCTACTCCTTGGGAGAGAGATCAATGAAATAGTTCCATTATAATCGGCAAAGAACGTATCAAAATTGCTCAATCATATTCACTCGTAAGTATTTCCTAAATTAAGCCCAAACCCACAAGAATCGATCACAAAAACAAGAGTTTTCTCACACATTTGAGCTCTTTGCATCATTCGCAAGTTTTACCACATATTAAGCACACTCCTTATGCATACCAGACCAAGCATTGTCAACACAGACTTTATCTTCAAATAAGAAAAATCGGTGTTGTGGAAAATTATTTCCCTTTTTGCATCATAGAGGATCCCATTGGCAAGAGTCCTACTTGGACTTTCCTGATATGACCCGAGTTTCTTTGCAATTCAATTATGGGTTGAATTTCAAATCAATCAGGATCAATTTCGAGCCATGATCAACAAGACTCATTCGCAACCCAATGCTAAGTGCTACCAAAAGATGATTTTATATCTTAACCCATGATATAAAATGATAATGAGACACAACGTTGAATCTCATGGAAAGAAACTACAAATTTTGGAAGCATTCTTTAACCAATGACCAAATTTAATTCATCATGTCCTTCCAGAATGGTAGGCTCTTCTTGTCATCGTTCATACACTTTGGAGCTTATTTAGCTCTATATAGGGATCAGCTATGAAAAACGCATCCCTTGAACTACTTGGTTTGTCGATGCATGTAAAAACAAAGACACATGCGCAACGAGATCAAAACTTAAAATGGAAATAAGAATGATCGTGGGCATAAAGTGGTCTCACGTTTTCGACAAGTTTCTAGATTTTCAGATTAATTAAACATTAGATTTGACGGATGCGTTGTCCATGTTGATGGGGGTGTATCGCTAATCGAATCAGAACGATCACGCGGAGAATAGAAGAAAACTAAATGATGCACGAGTTTACCCAGGTTCACCCCCGAATAGGGCTACGTCTTGCAAAGGGATTCCACTATGATTTTTTAGGGTTTACAACCACAACCACTCGTTACAATGATCTCTCATACGAATACAATATATATAGGACTTAAATGGGTCCAAAGCCCGAGCCTATCAAAATCCCTTTGATCCCACAACAAACGGGCCAGCAAACCCGATGTTGTTTCAGGGGTGCTGCCCCCGAGCTCCCGCCCGCTCACCGGCGAGCGGGGCCGCCGTCCGCTCACCGGGGAGCGGAACCCCCGCCCGCTGTCCGGTCAGCGGGACCCCCGTGTCGGGAGCGTTGCCCCCGAACCCCCGCATTCCGTGCGCAGGGGTCACATCTTGTCGGATCATATTTCGGTTTCCCTAAGTTCATGTGGGCGTGCCCTGTATGAGAAATAAGGGTCCCCGAAGTATTCGCCAACTCCAACACATGTTTGGAGGAGATCAGCTTAGCTCTTGATGCATGAGCTTGGCATGGAGTGTGAGAAAAAGTTAATGAGCGAATAGATCTAATTGTCTTCGTTATTAATCTTTCATTTAAAGTCTTGATCTTGACCGAACGAGCATGACTAACAGAGCTTATAACTGTATATAATTGAGCCACCCCTTATGCTATAACATCAATACGCAAGGAAGTTCTTTTTTTTTTCCCCTTTTTCAGCCAATTTGACGATAATAGGGGAAGAAGTTACTTAATCCTAAATCGACAAGTTTCTATTGTCGCACTGAACTTGGATTAACGTTTTTGTTGCCTGATAATAATTCCAATAAGTGATTGAAAGTTAATACATTCGGCACTTAATAAGACTAATCCCATTTGATAACCACAATACTTTTAACTTAAATGATTCGATTATGTCAAAAAATCACTTAATTATCTAAGTAAAATTGAGGTTACTTAATTCCTTATTCAATTAGAGTAGACATTTAGAAAGGAATTAAAATCTCGTCTATTGCATTTCTAGAAGCCTAAAACCTACCAATATTATTCGTCAGTTCATATTTGCTAAGAAGTAAATATTCAGTCTTGGCAATATTAAACTATTATCAAACAACATCATATTTTTTTTCATTTTTCAGCACTT